TTACAGTGGCCGTAAGAAGAAAGTGCAGGCGGCGAATTTTTATCAATAGAACTCTGCCGCGAGAGTACAAGCCTTTCACAAGATATTCATGCCTTATGGATTCTGTTACGGGCACGATTACAAGTGCGATAGCCTTCAATTACTTTAAGTGTTGCCGAGAGACGCGCAACAGCGCACTTTTTTTGTGAAATACACTCGCGCGATTCGAAGTGTTGCGCCTTTCAAATGACGTTAAAAGATCGTTATGATCAAATATAGTATCGATCAAGGTGAATTATTATTATACAATTCGAGAATAACGCTCTTGATTATCGATTCCATATAGGGAAGTGTGTCCAAAGAATATATACGGCCTTGAATATTATATATACGAAATCTTCTCCGGCGCTCCGTGGAATGCGAATATGAATACGCAGCAGATATAAATTTTTCGGCATCCTTTTGCACGTCCTTTTGCACAGCCGGCGCGTTCCGCTTTCGCGCGATTTCTCAATCGCTCGAGACACCGACTCATCTTGTCGCCGTCATCATTGTAACCGGCTCCATTTTTGCGTCTCACGGTACTCCGCTTTTGCGCGTTCGTTTCGCGACTATCGATATCCACTTCGGCTCGAGCAGGCTCGAGCGGGGCTCGAGCGAATGTATGTCGGAAACGCAAAGAGATCTGTGAAGTGCATTATCGCGAACTGGGACACGGTGAGTATATTACTCGGCGAATATGGTCAGGATACATGCCAGACACTCGGTGGTTTATAATCTCACTCCGTGCAACCTGACGTCGACAGTCATCTCTCGAATCAAAGAAGCTACTCGATCTTGACTTCCAGACTGTGGACCAGTAATCCATAACATGCATATCTTTTTGAAAACGAGAAAGATGAAATTTCTCAGCACATTTTATTCATACACAAAGACTATAAGCCTCTTGCCTTGAATAATTTAGTACAAAAATAGTCTCTTGCAAGGAACTACTACGATCTTCCAGACTGCCTGTGCAATAGTAATCTGTAATATGCATACTCATCTTTTTGAAAACGAAAGAGATAAAATTCCTCAGCTCGATTTATTTATATACGACGCAAAGAATAAGCTCTTTGCTCTAAAATAATTTAGTACAAAAAAATGTCGATAATTTTTAATTAATTTTATTTAAATTCCAGTTTAAAATATTGAAAAATACAGTAAAATCAAGAGACGGTAAAATCACGGTAGTGTTTCGCGTCAAGTGTACGCGCAGTGCGAGACCGCCGTGACTCTTTTACGCGATATTTTTTACACAATGCAAGTATTATCCTTAATTTACCTGTTATTCTTAAAGATTTCTGAATTTTAATTCCAAATAAATATAAATTAATTAATATACTATATGTTCTTTTGCATTTATCTATAATTATTTTTATACCAATATAATAAATCTTGAAAAATTAAATAATCAAAATTACCATGTATAATAAAAAAGATATTATGTAAACTCTCTAGTATTAATACTAAGCGGTTCGTTTCCAGATTGATTACTTCTATATTTCTATTTTGTCACAAAAAAGTGATCTGATAATTAGCAACGATGGCTATCCCCGAAAAGGCGAGGGAATAGGAAAGTGAACGAAGGAGCTCGAAGGAGTGAGTCGAAACACAAAACCAGTAAGCATTGACCCGGCCAGAACGCTGCCTTATTGGTGTATAAGGCCGGACCCCACGGTGCTTATTTTACGAGATCTCGTTGTGCACACTGGATGCGTGTTCACCGTACACCGTGACACCATATATACGCGGGCCTTATATGTATTACACACGACATGGGTAATTGGTTCACCGTTCTGTGTCCGTAGGCAGCCCCTGCGTTGCTGAGCCAACGTTAAGACTCTCGAGCCGGTCAAGTGACATTAGGTTTACATAAATAGCCGCGCCTATGATCTCCGTATCGCGTTTTACGATATTTCTCTCGCCATCTGATAGGCTGATTTGATCCTCATCAAGTCCCAAATGATTTCACGATAATCGCATAAACATCGCTGCGACGTGGAACCTAATTGAGAATGTCAATTACATTGATCTGCTGTTTAATAAATTGTAGGCATCGGTATAACGTAAAAATCGTATATTGTGAGTTACGATGAAGGACTACGAATATGTCTACATAGTGACATGACTGGAAAATAAAGCGACCTTCAACATTTATAGCCTTTCAAGTCTATCTGTACATCTAACTGCGTTATTTTTTTACATATTTCTGATAAATAGCGACATAAAAATAGACTTTTAAAAACTTCTATCTATAGTTAAATAATATTGCGAAAAACAGCAGCTCACAATAAATGCATCGTGATCTATATTTTATATTATTCATGTATGTTACATATGGTTAATTAAAATTTATATTAAATAATTTAAACGGTAATAACAGTTACTAGTTACATCGATGTATAAACGTGTCAGATAAATTGCATGTGGTATATGTATTTCAAAATTTACGACACAAGTTGAATATGTGTGCAAAGAGCAACTGAACTTTCTATTGTGGGAAAATTCATGCAACACTGCGTTATATTTTAACGGGTTTAACCGAATATGTATTACGTTCGTAGTGGAACGACTAATAAGGATACGCGAGTCGAAATAATCGGCAAGCAGAGAATGCGTTTCGTATAGGTGAGGGCGATTGCGCTATGACAATGCGAAACGAATTTGCGTACACGCGAATTGATGCCGCGAGACGACGGACGGCGACGCCGGGGCGGTGATGGAGCTTAGTTGGCTCGAATGAGACTCGTTAAACACAGCTGGTAGTTAACAGACAATCTGCCGACGAAAGTGGACTAACGTTGAATTTATGGCGGCGGGAACGCTCGGAGTAGTATGGCATTTAACTATTTTACGTTCAAAGTAAAAGTCATAAATCTAGCCGAGACGGTGTTTGTTGTAATGTGACGCTATTATCGAGTCAGTTGCCGGGTTTTGTAATGTATGTGCGATAATCTTGACAAAGGCGTGCAAAAGACGAATAGCACATTTTTTTCTACTCTTACGGTATTTTACTTACAGTGCCTGGATTATTAATTATTGATAATTACAGTCACGAAATAGCTCGATCATAATAGTTTCTTATACATCTTGCGTTGTAATATAATTTCGCGATGCAACAACGCACGACGCGCATTACAGCTAATGAAGCGACTCCTTAATTAATCTGGGACATCTTATATAAGCATGCGATATGACTCCATCAAGTTGAACATTCTCAATTAGCCTCCTCGAGAATGGCAGCGTGTAATTTCCAACGGAGAAAACACGATTAAGAAAAGTGTAAGCGTCAAATATCTCCAGCGAGGATCTCAATCAATCCCTCTGTTTAGTCTTAGCAAACTTGTAAATCACTTGTATTATGTATATCTCAATCTTTTCAAGTGTATTTAAAAATTAAAAAAAATTATACGTACGTATCACAGTAGTGTAAATAATTACAATCGAATTACAAATGAAAGGGAATGGTATCAAACTTATATGCGGCAGGTTCGCGAAGTGGAACGTGTTAAAATCTGCATATCTATTTCAATGTTACGACATTAAAGAAATGGAGAATTGTGATTATCTGAATTATTATCTAAATCTTAACGTAAATAAATGTTACGCGTGCAACTTCTTAAAGTTGCAGAGACATTCGACTACAAGACAGACTTTCTCATGACGGCGCAAGAGACTAGAATTTCCCACCTTAATCCTTACGATAGCATAATTAATTCACTTTGATTTCACGTGTAATATACTTTCCCGCCAAACATTCCTTTCTCGCAGTTCACGAGCAACCCGTCAACAAGTTTCATATATTACGATTTTTAACAAGATATAATGAAATAACAAGAACTACTATGTAGGCTAACAAGAGATTAAATATAAATGCAATTAGTGACAAAAACAAATTATAATATGAAGAAAATAATAAAGAATATAAACTTTCGATTCTAGTTTCGAATATGCATCAAAGAGTATAAAGATTTCGATGATTTGGTTGAATAGTTACAATTATTACAACAGAATAATGTATACCGGATGTACGCTTCAGTATTATTTGCAGTAACTTTTTTTTCTTGCAGATATTACGTAGTCAACACTACGTTAAAAGGGTAACTCATTAAAATATTGTATATGTAGAAACTAGAAACAAGGACGCAAATTATGTTCAGAACACGACTAATCGATCCATCTCAACCTCGACTTTGACTGACCTCGTAATAACAATTTTTCCGTTTGCGAGCCGTGCAAAATTCAATTTCCGCTGCAATATAATTTATCGCGCTTTAATCTTTTATTCCTTCTTTTACACGCGAAACAAAAGTAGGTAAAGAAAAGAACTTGGAGTTATTTCACTTACTTCTTGGAGTTATTGTTTTTTAAGAGATACTGTCCGATCAGTACACGCAATTTATAATTTTTTAAGCTTTTAAGATTAATTGGATAAAACCTGTGAGATATACATAAAAAAGTTGCGCTTTAATAATACACGGTAAAATTCAACGAACTAAATACACGGTATAATTACTTTACATACAGGCTTTTCTCATTTCGAGTATAAATTAATTTTCGCAAGATAATGGATGGACTGTCGATGTTAACGAAAAATAATGAAGCACTTCGCCCAAATTGATGTTGCGACCACAAAAATTTTATGCGATTATTCTTCGTCGTTTGTCATATCGCGCGCAATATTACGTAATTCTACCGTCGAGTGTCGGCAGGATAATCTTCTCGGCGTACTCATTGAAATCTCCTTTCAGGTAGCAATATGTAGGTGGATGTTATGTAAATTTCGGCGGCTCATCCAAAGCGCTAATGGCCGCGCGTGTAGTCAGCGCTAAATAAAACAGGTATGCGCATAGAGTCTCTCCCGTTTCTAGTTTCTAATCACGCATTTCCCTTTTACGCATGCTGCATATCCACGAAGAGAATCGCTTGTAATAGCGATCTTGACCCTAAACTTGACGATGCATTATATTAGATATGTATTTTCTTCTTTACAATTAAAAAATAACATAACTTGTATACATACATTGTGTACGGCTTTTAATTACCTATCGTATTATTTTTAACTTTATAAGTATATTATTCATCATTATTTCTGATGTTTACGTCTAAAGAAGAAAATTGCATTAAGAAAAGATAAGATACTTGAATTTTTATATTTGCGAGAGTATCATGTATATTTTTTACGTTTCTCGTTGTAATCATGTTATTGTTAATTATTTTTAATAGTTAGCATCTTAATCAAAGGTTTAAAGCGTAATCTTTAACTGCACTTTAAAGCCACCTAGCTCGAAATGTAATTTTAGTTGTACAATTACTAAAATTTTGAAACCGAGTACTTGGAAAACACATTGCAGAAAGCGATATAATGGAATGCAACGTAACGAAAATTAGCGATTTAATTCGATCAGCAAACATTACGCCACTGCGGCAATCACAAGGAAATTACGTTAAACCATTCGCGTCTCGTGTTTAGAGCTGTTTCCAGTTAACAAGGCGTAGGCGGGTGTTATGCAAATTTTGGCGCAGCATCCTTCGCGTTAATGGCGCGATCGTGATGCGACTGGCGTCAAGATAAATAAATAGGGACAGTGGACACGGACCGTGGATGAACGTGAAATCGAATATACTCCGTCACGTATCCGAGTACAACTATTGCCACCGTGAGAAAGCGAGAAATAGCAAAATAAGCGAAATAGAATACGTAATAGATAAATTGAACAATAATAAAAGAGTCTGCATGTTTACTTTTACAAACTCTCTCTTTCTCTCTCTCTCTCTGTTTAATGTCTATAATTATTATTTAATATAATTGCATTTTTAATTACAATTTTTTCAATTGTTAACTTTACTTCAATTTATTAAACATTTTATACGCTAAATTATTCAGATATATATTTTTAAAGTTATAATTTTATCGTAGGTTATATAACGACGAGAGAATGCAAGACCTGTTTTGATTTATAAGGACGACGTCGATCGATAACATTATCGGCCACGAGATCCCGTTGAAGAGAGAGACTCTTCGTTTCTGCTAGCACTCAAATCTCGTTCCGGATAACAAGCTGCAACAGGATGTTGTGCAGAAAATATGGCGCTGTATCCTTTATGCAAATTCGCATTCGCGGGGCAGGTTCGGCCTTCTCTTATCTGGCGAACGGCGCGGCAAAACGTTATTAGTCGACGAAGATAAACATTTCCGCGGATAATAATCGCAGATTGAATTCATATTAAACATTCTGATTCTTAAAATGCAAACTCACGATATTAGTGGAAACGAAATCACGGTTACGTCTCGCGTGCTTGTTTTCTGAATTGATAAGATAGCGAGGTATCCGATATACTTATATTCATCGCGTCGATAAATCCGACGTGTAAAACCGCAACAAATTCGTTCAGATGAAATCCTCACGTATAATATTTTAATGCCAAGGCTGTCCAACAGCCTGTTTATTCGCGAACTCCTTGTATAGGGTAAATGCAGGTGAATGGACGGGAAAGTAAGTCAAATTTAAAATTAGAATAACGCTCACGCATTTATTTCCATTCACTTTAACTTATAGGTCACTTCAATAAATATTACTACAATTTAATCGTGGCTTAACTGATTTTATGGTTCTTTTTTTTTAAGGGAGATAGATAATCAATTAAAGACAGGCAATCTTAATTAATGCGTATATAATGCCTCGAACGAAATGGAAAACTTGCCTAACCGTATCTAATTGTAACTATGTTTATGGAAACGACCGTATATCATCTTTCGTAGCCGGCGAAGCATGTAGTTATCATATGCTCGGTCATTATATTTTTCTCGAGTGCACTGATACTGAATTTTAATCCACTTTACCTTTCAGGCCTAACCACGTGCTTTGTTGTATACATATTAATACATTGCTTGAAGTAATACGTATCAATTAGTTGTAATTTCAGTTATTCTGCATTCGAAATTATGGTTATTCAATGCTTGTGTACAAAATGTGAATATTTAATTTATACATGCGTTGCGAAACACTTAATAGTTTTGATTAAAATACTTCTTATTACAGACTTGTAGAATAGTTTAAGATAATATTTGGAAAATAGCTTCATTGAATAAACTCTGTATTTTTATTTTTGATCCTAACGTTTACAACATTGCTTTAAATTTTGAGACCTATTGGTTCGAAATATTAAATATTTTCTATTTTGGAATTAAACTAATTTATATATGCTTTTTAACAATATTATTTATGCTTTTTTTTAAATAATAGAATATTTTAATATTTTCTAACTTATGCATATGTATATTATACTAAAAATATCGTTAATATATTCCAAAAACTACTGAGAGAGATAGTAAAGCTGAGGAAATAATATCATAATGAGATACACGTACGTTCCTTTGACGTGTGACACATCGAGCTGTTATTTATTCAGTTTATCGATGGATCGAATGGTTTTAATAACGAGAAAGTCGCGGGAGTTGCGTAGGAAAGGTTTACGTGTCAATCCCGCGCATGCAAACGCATACCTTACATCGCGTTGCAGTTGATTGACCTCAATGTTCACCATGCGCGTAGCAATGACGGTGAGATAGGTGGCACCTATAATCGAACTCGTGCCAGCAATTCGCGCGTGGGATCTAAACTCTGTATTCCATTTATTCAATTTACATATTGTATCATCAGCGCAAATTCAAGTGCGATTCGTCGCAATGAAGAATCATAGTAAATAATTAAATTTTTCAAGCTTATTGTGTTATGTTATCTTATCGCTATCATAATAATACGTAATAATGTATATACAACACCACGATGTTAATAAAATCAATAAAGTTATCGTTATATTTACTAAATTGAGAATTTCTTCTCTTTAATTGTGTACACGGAAAGAACGGTTTTGTTGAAGTATCTAAAAATCTAGCTAAATATACAGATCTAAAAATAATTTTATTGCACCATTAAAATAATTATAGTAGGTCGCTGAAGTATGATGCTAATGCTGTAAAAAATTTTGACATATACGAATTAAATTATTTCATATATTTTATATATTTTATATATGTAATATAAGTATGTTTCAACTACGATCTAAAAGCGAACGTTGGAATAGTGATTCGTGCACGGAATTTCTGTGGATATTCTGTTTCTGTTCGGAGACCGTAGGCTTGAAGGTGAGCGGTGTTGTGTCGGGCAAGAATATCGTAGCAGAAGAAAATAAAAGCGCAAAGGTTTTCGTTGGTAGTCAGGGTCGAACGTTAAAGTATAACTGCATTAGGTTATATTTAGAAATGCGGCTAGAGGCGGAAAAATCCTGCCAAAAGTCCGCACTTTTTTCTCAATTCATGTATTATATTAATCTTCTCATTAAACAATATAAATAGAAGATAAAAATATTTACAGATTTATATTTACTTAAGCAGATTAAAAAGATAAAAATGTTTTATATTTTTTTCAATTCTTCATTAACATTTTCGTTTTCAAGGTCGCCACATCTAAAAATAGCGCGATAATTAAGTGCCACACGTACTTTTGACAGAATCCACAGTTGCTGGCCTTGGCACTTATCGCAAACAGATAATGAGCTTCGACACGAGAATACACCCTTACTCGTTTTAAATTCCCCTCGCGGACGATAAGGAAGCACGATAGGAAGCCACGATTCCCTCATACCCGCCAAGCTAATCGCGATCCCGTGGGAACTTCTGCACCCTCTTACACTCCCGCAAGATAAATTTTCGTAGGCTGCACTTTACATTAGAACCTGCTGCGCATCAACTGACTAGAGAAACTAAATCTTATCTGCAACGGTATGTCGCGTTACGCTTGCGGCATGCCTACGCGTTTACAGGCATTATATTTATTATTTATTCTTAAGGCATACCGTGTCTTTATCCCCTGTCTAGATTACATGATAAAATTTAATGGAATGATGTACCCTACCGAAGGCAGGATAAACATATAACGAGACAAACTGATCAATTTTTCATGAAAAATCTTCGTGATTGTCCGTTGATATGTTTCTTCATATTGCACAAATTTTGATTAATTTTGCGAGACCCCAACTATATAAAGATTTAAAGATTATACGTATCTAATATTACGATGAATAAACGCAGTTTTTGCGGAAACCTATATTTGTATACTTCCTTTAGTCCACTTTCTCTTTCTAATCCGACTTTTAAATGCTATCAATTATATTTTGTGCGTCCGTAGCAGTGTCGGTCAACATTTTTATTGTTTCCAAAACAATTTTCTGTGTATAATTCTCTCATAAAAAAAACATGCTGCTTTAAAGTGCAAATTAATTTCCCACCTTCGAGAGTCATTGTGTAAGGCTAGAAAGTCGAGAGATATATTACACGATATCCCTCGTTGCAGTTTTAAAACGCAAAAACAAATTTACTGAAGCCTCCATCGACCTGAAGTCGCATTATGAAAACGAACTCGCGTATAAACGAGACGTATACCCGAATAAAACTCAAAGCAGTACCTATTCGCAACACATTCGTTCCGTATACATATATCCGAAATATACCAGAACAGGTAGCGAAGCCTATTAGATGGATACCACATCATTACCGACCGCTATTGTGTATTCAGCTTTAAAGTAACGGCGGCGAATTCGACACCCGGCTGGTCCTCGCTTTCTTGAATCGGACCGGATTCGCAGAGAAGTGCGCAGAAAAATATCGTTTATCATATTTGCCTAGCCGGTCCAAATTTACCTGCTCTAACAATAGAATCGGTTTCAAAGTCCGTACCCTAATGCAGATGTCGATCTGATTATGCCGTCCTGCGTATACCGCGCGCGCATACAAGACATTTAAAATAGAGAACCACTGATGGGGCAGTGTGGAAATTTATTTTCTTATACTCAGAAAGTCTAATGGTTCTGCATGTGTTCGCCAATACATGTGGGTTCAGGTTCAGGTTCAGGTTGTGCATTGGATACCGTCGAAGTCTGGGTTACCTCGAGGCCTCGAGCGCCGGTGGACAATAAACAGAAGAACTGAAGCGACCTGAACAGGGCGCAAAAAAGAGGGGAATGGGAAAATTCGAAATTCTCTTAACTGTGACGTAACTTGGTGAAAAAGAAGATAAATTTTTCTTAATTTTAGAAGCTTTTAAAAAATAATATTAATAGGTTCAAATTATTAGGAATCAACAAATTAAAAAAGGAGCCACAATAGGGTGGCTATAATGACAGATCGAAATGTATGTAAAGTATTATTTTAATCGAATATTACGACGCGACACTCTGTTGTGGCTTTGTGCCCTCTTTTTTATTTATGGACTTCTAAAAAATGTCCTAGACAGAACATTTATTCAAAGGGGACTAAGTATAACACGCTATTAATAACATTGGCATTTTTTCAAAAGTGAGTCACGTGTCGCGAGTGCCAATCGTTCAAAACAGCATAAAGAGAAATCTTTCTTAACGTACTCAAAGTTATCAATAGAATACAGCTGGCGTATTTGGCGACTTTGTTGTTTCTCTCTCGACCTCTTAAGCGTGATAAACATGTTGTCACTCGCGCGTTCGAGTATCTTATTCGCGCGAACGTTAGAAGGATGTGTGTTTCCTAGTCATTCGTACGATCCCCAGCTGTAATTAGTCGTTTTGCTCGTCGCGTTATCTCGCGCGGGAGCGCGGATAATCGGCCGTGATTGTGTCGCGTCGCCGCGCGCAATGACGAGATACTTATTTCCGTCGCGGGTCGTCGATAACGAAAATCAGGGACCTTCTTTCGTCGAGCGACGTGGAGCGCGCGAAATTCTTCCGCCGGCACCGTTATGCTCCGCTTTTTCGTCGCCGCGCGGCACCGGCGCGCTTTATGGGAGTCACACTCTCTATACGCGACTCACGACTTAGACAATGGCGAGAGAAATTACGCTGGTGAATGTCGTGAGAAACCCGGTTGTGCGCGCCGTTGCCTCACATTGTCGGAACAGGTCGTGTAATTGGCGACGCTGTGCTCGAGATCTTCGGCCGTCTCATCCCGCGCCAAATACGCGAGCGTACGTTTACGTACGGAGCGGAAACGCGCTCGTGATCTCGCCGCAAAAACACCCTCCCCTCCTCCCTGTGATTCTCTCTCTCTTACAAATTGGAGAAGTGCCAAAGAGCAATATGTCGTTACTCAACACATTCCAATCTGAACTACGAGTTGTGCTAAAGTACTATACGGTTTTTCTTTCGTGATTAGATAAAAAAAGAATGCTTGTTTATTTTGCAAAACTAACATGAGTTTTTCCTTCGTAAGATTGAGAGCTTTATTGCACTGACAACACTCACATCATTTGCGTGGATTGTTTACACTTTGTTTTAACACTTGCATGTTAAGAAATGAGATAATTTTGTCACAGCTCTACCGAAAATAAATAAGGTTCTTTTTATTATATTTTAGAAGGGGATGATTCTTTATTTTTTTTTTATAAAAATCCGTTTTTAAGCAGCGTTCAAGAGGTGTTTATCACGTCATAAATAATTTATAGAAAAACCTTTATGCGTTCATCTTACGCAAAAAGGGTTCACTTTTATATTGTTTATCGGAATATTAGCGGAATAATTATTAAAGGCAGGTTATTGTTTCCCGTAAAGCGTTTTAAAACGCTTGCGTGAGCAGCTAAGTTTTCTCCTCGATCTTATCGAATTATCGCATCGACAGTTTGTAACAACTTTAAACTTCCATCTCGTAGTGAGGTTTGTTAAACAATTTCACGTTAAAATGCTCAATAATTCTAACACGCGAAATTAGTGATGTGTAAAAGTAATATTTTGTGCCTTTTGTAGATTTCTTTACAAAGTAACTTATGCACATAAGAATGTTTAAAATAATTGTAGGGGTAAAAACCACAGTGGAGTAAGTCAAATATTTTAAAAAATTTGTGGTTTTTACTCCTCCAATTGTAGAATATAGTAAGATAAAATTTCAACTTATACAATATTTTCTAATATATATAATTGAATAAACATAAATAAAGCAGCAAATTAAATAGTTCATATTTTTTTAAGAGATGTTTATCTCTCTTGAAGAGTTGATTAAAAAACGCATTTAGAAGATATATATCTGTATCTCATCGATACATATCAAATACAAATTTCGACATATATTGGCAATCTAGTTCTACCTAGTCTTTG